AGCTGCAGGCATCATCCTGGTATCATTTTTTTCAGCCGGAAATCTGCTTTCATATAAAAGCAATCCTAGTGGCCAATTAGCTGCAGGATTGCTTTTACAAGCAGCAGGAGATGATGCCCCCCCTCCCCCGCTGCCTTCCGCGGTCTTCTCGGGTGTTTCTGCCAGCTGACCATAGAGCTGATTGGAGACCAGAGTGGTGCCAATCATCTCTATAGCCTAAGAAATTAGAAGCTACGAGCATTTCATCACTTCAGTTTCGCAGGATATAAACAGCGCCATTTGTAAATTGGGAAAGCATCTGATCACACCGATTTTGGTTTGATTAGATAATGTAAGGGAAGAGGAGATATCTAGAGTCTGATAGACCCCAGATTTCTGAAAATAGAATACAGTGGGGCAAAAAAGTATTTAGTCAGCAACCAATTATGCAAGTTCTCCCACTTAAAAAGATGAGAGAGGCCTGTAATTGGCATCATAGGTAGACCTCAACTATGAGAGACAAAATGAGAAAAAAAAAATCCAGACAATCACATTGGCTGATTTGGAAAGAATTTATTTGCAAATTATGGTGGAAAATAAGTATTTGGTCACCTACAAACAAGCAAGATTTATGGCTCTCACAGACCTATACCTTCTTCTTTAAGAGGCTCCTCTGTCCTGCACTCATTACCTGTATCAGTGGCACCTGTTTGAACTTGTTATCAGTATAAAAGACACCTGTCCACAACCTCAAACAGTCACACTCCAAACTCCACTATGGTGAAGACCAAAGAGCTGTCGAAGGACACCAGAAACAAAATTGTAGACCTGCACCAGGCTGGGAAGACTGAATCTGCAATAGGCAAGCAGCTTGGTGTGAACAAATCAACTGTGGGAGCAATAATTAGAAAATGGAAGACATACAAGACCACTGATAATCTCCCTCGATCTGGGGCTCCACGCAAGATCTCACCCCGTGGGGTCAAAATGATCACAAGAACAGTGAGCAAAAATCCCAGGACCACACGGGGGGACCTAGTGAATGACCTGCAGAGAGCTGGGACCAACGTAACAAAGGCTACCATTAGTAACACACTACGCCGCCAGAGACTCAGATCCTGCAGTGCCAGACGTGTCTCCCTGCTTAAGCCAGTACATGTCCGGGCCCGTCTGAAGTTTGCTAGAGAGAATGTCATATGGTCAGATGAAACCAAAATAGAACTGTTTGGTAGAAACACAACTCGTCGTGTTTGGAGGAGAGAGAATGCTGAGTTGCATCCAAAGAACACCATACCTACTGTGAAGCATGGGGTGGCAGCATCATGCTTTGGGGCTGTTTCTCTGCAAAGGGACCAGGATGACTGATCCATGTACAGGACAGAATGAATGGGGCCATGTATTGTGAGATTTTGAGTGCAAACCTCCTTCCATCAGCAAGGGCATTGAAGATGAAACGTGGCTGGGTCTTCCAACATGACAATGATCCCAAACATACCGCCCGGGCAACAAAGGAGTGGCTTCGTAAGAAGCATTTCAAGGTCCTGGAGTGCCCTAGCCAGTCTCCAGATCTCAACCCCATAGAAAACCTTTGGAGGGAGTTGAAAGTCCATGTTGCCCAGCGACAGCCCCAAAACATCACTGCTCTAGAGGAGATCTGCATGGAGGAATGGGCCAACATACCAGCAACAGTGTGTGCCAACCTTGTGAAGACTTACAGGAAACGTCTGACCTCTGTCATTGCCAACAAAGGATATATAACAAAGTATTGAGATGAACTTTTGATATTGACCAAATACTTATTTTCCACCATAATTTGCAAATAAATTCTTTCCAAATCAGCCAATGTGATTGTCTGGATTTTTTTTCTCATTTTGTCTCTCATAGTTGAGGTCTACCTATGATGCCAATTACAGGCCTCTCTCATCTTTTTAAGTGGGAGAACTTGCACAATTGGTGGCTGACTAAATATTTTTTTGCCCCACTGTATATGACAATGCCCATTGAAGTTATAAGGCATATTTGCATTCCCTGTGATAGCATTAAAAGTGATAAAAAAAAATAAATAAAAAGGTACAGTGTAAAAATAATAAAAAAAATCAAAATAATAAAAAAAAAAAAAAACTCGCCCCTCCCATACGCGCACACCTGTGTGCACAAGCATTGACCCTGTGGCGGTATGTAAACAGCGGTTGCGTCATACATGTGAGGTATCACCGTGAACGTCAGATCAAGGGCAGTAATTCTAACACTAGAAAAGCTACAATTTCTGGGGAAATTGTTTGAAGTGTTCTTGCCTCCTCCAGTAGTCTAGGGCTTGAAAATGAGAGAGTGGTGGCGGCAGTTTAGAAATCATGTCCTGATTTTTCAGCTCACACTCTAGCTTTTGTCACTCTGCTGCCTGCTCACACACCTGGGTACCTATGGCAACACACTCTACAGCAAGGGCAGAGAAGAGCGGTTAAAAACAAACTGCTCCAACTTGCTCACTTCACTGGCGGTTGCCATATTCAAACGGTTGTAGTTTAAAAATTATAACTCCTACACCGAAGAACATTATATTGTGAGAATCACAAGACCCAGACCTACATTTTGATGCATAGTATGTCTCTGAAATATTAAAAATGAAGGCACAGTCGCAGTTTAGAGATTGCCCTTCAAATTTGGGGTGGCTAGAGTAGAGTTTCAATGAATGTCAATGGGCGGTGTGAGTTGCAAACAAATGGTCATATTGTGAAAACTGTCAGGACTATGGCTTAGCCATGGACATTTTTAGTGGCAGCAGGGATAGCTGAACGTTTTGATATAAGATTTGTGTAGGTGGGCCTGAAAATGAGGGAGTGATGGCAGTTTAGAAATCGCCCTGATTTTTCAGCTCACACTCTAGCTTTTGTCAGCTCCCACTCTAGTTTTGAACATTCCGCCATTCATTCCTATGGGACCAATTTCACCACGTAAATGCCGATATTTCGTGAACCATTCGGCGAAACGTTCCACAAAGTAATAGCACACCAATTGGGAACAATCCGCACGTTTCGGTATATTACTGTCTATGTAGTGTAAAAACTGTGGGAGGAGTTAGGGTGGTAAATTTGGCTATAATAATAAGAATATATATGTGAGATAACAGTAAGTGGTCTTGCCATGCAAGAACACTTAACTAGACCTCTGTAAATCTAAAATGGTAGCTTTTAAAGCCTTTTAAAGCGTTGCCTATGGATATTAAAAATGTATGCAGTTTGTTGCCATTGCACAGGGCATGCACAGTTTTAAAGTATGTCATGTTTGGTATCTATTTACTCGGCATACCATCATCTTTTATATTTTACCAAATGATTGGCCAATATATTGTGTTTTTGTGCTTTAAAAGTAAAAAAAGTGTTTTTTTTTTTAATTTGCTTTTGAAAAATCGCTGAGCGAGTACTATGTGCCATAAAAAATTGTAGTACCCACCATTTTTATTCACTAGGGTGTCTGCTTTAAAAAATATATATAATGTTTGGGGGGTTTCAATTAATTTCCTAGCAAAAAATACTGATTTTTGTGAACAAAAAGTGTCAGAAAAGGCTTGGTCTTCAGGTGGTTAGAAGAGTGAGTGATGTGTGGCATAAACTTCTAATGCTGGGAATAAACCTCCCCCACCCCCCAAATCGACCCCTTTTTGGAAAGTAGACACCCCAAGCTATTTGCTGAGAGGCATGTTGAATCAATAGAAGAATTTATTTTTTTACCACAAGTTTTTGGAAAATGACAAAAAATTTTTTTTTTTTGTTACACAAAATTGTCACTTAAATGATGTATTGCTCACACATGCCATGGGTATATGTGGAATTACTCCCCAAAATACATTCTGCTACTTCTCCCGAGTATGTGGGTACCACATGTGAGAGACGTTTTGGCAGTCTAGCTAAGTACAGGACCCCAAAAATTAATAAGCACCTTCAGGCTTTTAAAGGGCTTTATTTCCTCATTACACTTCCTGACTACCTATCACAGTTTTCGGAGGCCCTGAAATGCCAGGATACCCCCCCCCCCCCCAAATGACCCCTTTTTGGAAAGTAGACACCCCAAGGAATTTGATAAGAAGCACTGTAAGTATTTTGCAGATCTCATTTGCTGCCACACGTTTTTGGAAAATGAAGAAAAAAATGCATTCAAAAAAGGCATTCAAAGCAGTCATTGGATTTCAGGCTCCTGTATGTGGCTAGGCTCCCAAAAAGTCTCACATGTGGTATCCCCATACTCGGTAGAAGTAGCAGAATGTATTTTGGGGTGTAATTCCACATATACCCATGGCTTGTGCGAGAAATAAATCATTTAAATGACAACTTTATGTAAAAAAAAAAAAATGTTTTTGTCATTTTCCAGAAACTTGTGAAAAAAAAAATAAATCTTCCATAGACTAAATGCCTCTCAGCAGATAGCTTAGGGTGTCTACTTTCCAAAAAGGGGTCATTTGAGGGTGTTTGTACTATCCTGGTATTTTAGCACCTCAGGAAATGTGATGAGCAGTCAGAAAGTAAAAGCTGTGTAAATTCCATTATCTATACCATAGTTTGTAGACGCTATAACTTTTACACTAAGCAATAAATATACACTTACTGGGATTTTTTTAACCAAAAACATGTAGCAGATACATATTGGCCTAAATTTATGACATTTTAGTTTTTTTGGATATTTTTTATGACCGAAATGAGAAAATATTGTTTTTTTTCAAAAAAATGTTTTCTTTTCTTCAAAAATGTTTTTGTTTATAGCGCCAAAAATAAAATGTGCACAGGTGATCAAATACTTCCAAAAGAAAGCTCTATTTGTGTGAAAAAAAGGACATAAATTTCATTTATGTACCGCATTGCATGACCGCGCAATTGTCCGTTAAACTAGCGCAGCGCTGTATAGCAAAAAAAATGGTGTAAATTGCAGTATCTGTACCATAGTTTATACTCGTTTATAGCATAGTGTATACGCTATAACTGTGACAGTACAGTGTCTCACATTGACTATTTCAGTCTGTTTTGAAGTACCTGTTTCCAAGAATTCGGACTTATTAGATAGGTGCTGGCTGCAATGACTCCAGTACCCAGAAGCATTAGATCTTCCTTCACAGCCAGACATTTGCTCCTGTTAAAAAAAATACTATTAATCATCGGGATTAAGTCGGTGAATATATAGAGGGGACTTAAATTCTTACCTCTGAGTATTACTTGGAGTTGGTATGTCCACAGTTGACTTAAGCACAGTGTCATAAATAGGATTTCTAAGCAAATAAACCAAATCCAGTACCATCACACTCATATCATACACTTGGTTTAGTGGCAGAGAACAGCCATTGTATCCTGCAAAATTCAAAAAGTCAAGTTAACGTCATGCAAATAGCATTTACCGTCTCACTTTGATCCATATCTGGTTGTCACATTTCGTTATTTGAGACAGAGGCTGGCATTATTTTAAATTGAATTAGTGAGGATATAAATATAGCTAGTGCCATCACTGGTTGAGAAATGGTTCTGGCTTTCTATTACAGAAAGTGCCTTAAAATGTTACTAAACCCACAACAGTAAAATCAGTCTGTATATGCAGCAAAAGCCTGCTTGTTATATTCACTGTGGAACCTAAGGGGTTAATTCTCTACATTCTTACAGAATACTAAGGTCTAAACAAATAAATACCATGTGCCCTAAGACACACAGAACAAGCACTCAAACACAGAAAAGCTGGGCAACAAGAAAAAGTTGGTCAGTAATGGGTCAATTAATAGAAACCATCCAACATTGTGCGAAACGTGTTGTCATGGTAACGGGGACTTGTTGATTGGTCTCCTTCCTACTGAGCATTTCTGATGGTTCTTCTTGGCTTCCTTGTGTTTCGCTGAGGTCACTTCTGGTGCGCTGTGACGTCACTTCCGGTGCGCAATCTCCAGCAACTGAGGTGGTCCATCCTGCTCCTCTCATCCTGTGGGGTCTCTTTCAGTCCGCTGACCTTGGTCAGCTGTATACCATCCATTGTGGCTCTTTCACCTTCCATCTATTGAGCTCGTCATCTAAGCTCTTCATTGCCATGCCTACAACACAGTACGCTGCTCCCATCATTCCTTCAGTCTACGGTTTGCACTGATCCTTGTATGACATCCATTCATGGATACATCCTTATGGTGATTGTTGTGTTTATTGCTCCATTAAACGGTTTTCTATTGTCTGATGGTTATGAACACTACTGGTTTTTATTCTGGACATTCACCACGAGCGCTCTGATCTTTTATGCGTAATTAAGGTAGTGGTTCCGCAATCCAGCAAGAGATATGGGCCAAGGCAGTGGTGGGTGGAATGCAGGGACACAGAAATGCTATATCTGCAACTCCAGACAAAAACAGATCAGGGAGGATCCATAAACATAGCTGCTGGATAGATTTTACAAGAAGCAAGGAGGGGCTCAACCCCTCCTGCCGCCTTCAGCAGCTCTCCTGTTCCATTCAGTGACCCAAATGTTCAGGCATCGGGTTCACCGGCTGACCATAGAGCTAATCAGAGACCGGAATGGCTCTGATCATCTCTATGGTCTACGCAACTGAAAGCGATGATTATTTAATCACTTCTGGTTTGGCTAGATGTAAATAAACCCTTAGTGGTTTGCAAAAAGGCAGAAGATCATACCAATCTTGGTATGATTTGAAGCTTTGAAGGGCAGAGGAGAGATCTGGGGTCTAATAGACCCCAGACTTCTAAGTAAAGAGGACCCGTCACTGCTATTGCTATCACAATGAATATTTCTTGCCTCCACACTGCCAAGCAGACCTATTTTATCACTCTGATTAACACCTCCTCATCTAGTCCCCGTCAACTCTTCTCTACCTTAAAATCTCTACTTCGTCCTCCACTGCCTCCACCCACTAACTCACTCACTGCCCAGGAGATCACCAATCACTCCAAAAATAAGATCAAAACAATTTGTGATGAAATCTCCACTCTACAGATAACTCCCCCACTTAACACCCCATGTCCACAGGTACACTCAACATCACCCTTATTCAATCCTGCTACTACAGACAAGGTTGCTAAACTTTTTTCTAATGCCTACACAACCACCTGTCCCCTGGACCCTATTCCCTCTCAAATACTGCAGTCACCCTGAGGTTCTATCCTACACTTTCTAACTCACAGCTTTAATCTCTCCCTCTCTTCTGGCACCTTCCCCAACAATCTAAAACATGCACTAGTCACCCCCATATTTAAAAAGCCTTCCTTGGAGCCCACAAATCTTAACAACCTGCGTACCATCTGCTTGCTCCCGTTTTCCTCCAAAGTCCTTGAACACTTGGTCTACAACCGACTGCATGACCGCCTCATTAAAAATAACTTTCTTGATACCCTTCAGTCTGGATTTCGTCCTCAACACTTCACAGAAACTGCTCTCCTAAAACTCACAAACGATTTACTAACAGCAAAAACCAATAGACACTATTCTGTACTACTACTTCTGGACCTTTCGGCTGCCTTTGATACAGTTGACCACCCCCTCCTCAAAAAAAACTTTAATCCCTTGGTATCCATGACTGTGTTCTTTGTTGGTTCTCATCCTACCTATCTCACCGCACCTTTAGTTTCACTTACAATTCTACTTCCTCCTTTCCTCTTCCTTTCTCTGTTGTGTCCCCCAAGGTTATGTTCTTGGACTTCTCCTATTCTCAATCTATACCTTCTCCCTGGGTCAGCTGATAGTCACCCACAGCTTTGAATATCATTTATAAGCTGACCAAACTGAAATCTATCTTTCTACCCTTCAGCTCACAACATCAGTCTCCTCATGCATAACTAACTTACTGATTGACATATCAGTCTGGATGTCACATCACTTCCTCAAACTCAATCTATGCAAAACTGAGCTCCTAATATTTCTCCCCCCACGTGCCCCTTTCCCTGACTTCTCTGTCAAGATCAATGGTACAACCATCAACCCGTCCCTGCATGCCAGGGTGCTAAGTGTAATCCTGGACTCTGAATCCTCCTTTTGACCCCTTCAATCACTTTCCAAAGCTTGCCCTCTCAACCTCCGTAACATCTCCAAAATATGCCCCTTCCTAACCAGTGACACCACTCCTAATTCACTCCCAGGTTATCTCTCGCCTCGACTACTGCAACCTTGACTACTCCTCATTGGCTTACCTTTACATCCTCCTTTCAGCCCATTATGAATGCTGCTGCCAGGCTCATCCACCTTACCAACCGTTCAGTGTCTGCCTCCCCTCACTGCCAATCCCTGCACTGGCTGCCACTCACCCAACTAATTAAATTTAAAATACTAACAACAACTTACAAAGCTACATCACTAACCTAGTCTCAAAATACCAACCAAGTGTCTCCCTTCATTCCTCCCAAGACCTCTTGCTCTCCAGTTCCCTTGTCACCTCCTTCCATGTTTGCTTGCAGGCGCCTCTCCCATCTTTAAAATTCCATACTCCAATCTGTCCGACTATCTCTTACTCTGCCCACTTTTAGAAGATCCCTGAAAACTTTTCAGAGAAGCCTATCCTGCTTCCACCTAACAACTATACATGTATTTTCTCCCATCAGCTCATCCTCCACAGCTATTACCTTTTGTATCGCTTGACCTTCCCTTTTTAGATTGTAAGCTCTAACGAGCAGGGCCCTCTGATTCCTCCTGTATTCAATTGTATTGTAACTGTACTGTTTGCCTTCATTGTAAAGTGCTGCCCAAACTGTTGGCGCTATATAAATCCTGTATATTAATATTAACAATTTATATTCCCTGTTATAAGAATAAAAGTGATGATAAAAAAAGGGACAGTACAAAAATAAAACAGACATTGATATTAAAAAATGTAAAGAAAAAAAAAAAAGGTTTAGGAACCCCTGCTACAGGCCAATTGTCCCCAAATATACCATATGGTCTACAAAGGCTACATTTTTAATTCTGCAAACTGTTAAGGCAGTGGTCCAAAGTCTGTATCTTGCTCTCAGTCTGATACTTCCACTGTAAGGAGCCTATTACACATGTACCAAAGGTTAGGAAAAAAGACAAGTTTGGGGAATGAAAACTGTAATGTGCTGAATGTTATACAGTATACAGCAGAATGCCTAAATTTAGTTTTATGGATTGATTTGTTGGTATAAGCCTACATTTCAAGACAGGAAATGTGATAAAACTTACCTAGAACTTCTAATAGCATCTCTACAAATGTGAAAGGAGATTGGATGTTGATATGGAAGTCTAGAGTTTTTAGCACTGTCATTTCAGACTGCAGTAAATCTTTCTTTGTGTACGAGAAACCTGCAGATCTCAGAAACTGGATTACTACATTACTATTGATAATCTGAAAAAAGTACACAAATCAAATACTTAGCATTGTAAAGATGTGTTTTTCATACATCAAGCTTGTCAACAAAGAATAATTGAAGCTGATGTTCCTTCTTAGGTTGGAGAGTCACTGTCCCAGGACAAGCATGCAGCAAGTAAAATGTCAGAATACCTTTTATGCAGATGCCTAGTGAAACAATGCCTGCAGAATTTGAGCCATTGATGGCTTTGTAAGCAGCCATCTGGCTTTACAAAAGTCTATTTAAAAATCAACCAAGCCAGGCAGAAAATAAAATTATTAGCAGAACAGTGACTACAGCAGTTCAGATAGCTTGATCATAATAGCTGGCAGTGGAGATTCCTCCATCCACATTGTTAGTGTAAATGGGGATATTGATTTTCTCCCGTTCAGCGTGCACAGAAAATCAAGCCATCTGTGACTATGTTCATGTCTATATTTTAAGGAGAAGTATAGCTAAAGCTATTTTGGCTATACTTCTGAAAGTCTCAGGAGTGCAGTTTGTTGTGCACTCCTGTGACCCACTGTCTGCTGAGAGCCTTAACCAGACTCTCCCGCCCCCCCCCCCCCATAGCCCAGCGCTCCAGAGACAGCTGGAGGGGGGCAGAGCAGAGAGCCAGAGGCTGACAGTTACAGCTCTCTGCTCACAGCAGAAGGGAGAACTGAGCTATCAGTGGTATTTGATTGCTCGGTTCGCACTGCAGAGCCAGCGTGGGACAGATGCATCATTGGATCGATGCTGCATACACTGTTGAGTGTGAGTTGAGTATGTTTTCTTCTTTACAAGTCCATACTGCTCTTTTAAGCACACTAAATACAAATCTTATGTGCAACTGAAAACTCTTACATGATAGTGGAAATTCAACTTGCTAGTAATCTGAATACAAGACACCAGGTGGAGGATGAACCTTTCACAAAGATTGGCTTTTGCAGATGCCCATGCCTCTGTGATTTCCATCAGATTCCTATTTTCTCTACTGGACTTATACAGCTGCTTTAGATATAGGATCATGAACCTGAAATAAAGCACAAGTCAATGTTATTCTATGTGTCAATCCAGTCAGCACTTTAACACAAACCTGACCAGGCTTCAAATGTTTCTAAAGATAGCAGGAGCCTGACAGGTAAGCACCCTATTGTACACCATGTGCATACATCGTTTTCCCAAGTAACCTCTGCATCCTTGTGGTGCCCCCTTGGATCCTAGGCCAAGACTACATATAACAATTCTAGTACTGCCCAGATTGACCCTGCCTCTTCCTGGTGATTGAAGACCAGATTTGTCTTCAAGATATCAAATTCCATTTTTAGTGGAATGTTAAGATTCTGATGCTTTAACGATGGATGACAGGGGTGGGCTTTATCAACAGTAAATGGGACTGTATATAACACCCCTGAGTCGCCTCGGATGTGGCCCAGGACAGCACATTATTATGTACAGTGCAGGATGTTAAAATGGTTCTAAAGACTGAAGCTTTTTTGCCTTCATACATTCTATGCATGAAGGTAAAAAATGTTCTGTGTACAGCTCTACCCTCAGCCAACCTAATACTTACCAGAGCCCCCAATCCTGATCCAGCGATGTGCATAAGAGCAGCCGCTCTCTCGAGTGTCTTCGTACTCATCGGCTGAGAGATACAGCAGCGGGAGCCACTGCCAGTAAGGAGGGAGCAGGACACACAGAGGCACTGGGGGACCTGAGTAAAGGAGGGTCGAGGATGCTCTGTGCAAAACCATTATGTATGTATAACATGTTTATTATTTTTAAAACAAAACACCTGAACCTTTAGTATCACTTTAAGAGCCTGCCCACATTCTGAAGCTGGAGTCTGGAGAGCGAAATACTAGGCAGAAGTTCCTCTTAGTTATTTCCCCTAGACCAGTGGTTCTTAATCTTTTATTGAGTCACAAACCCCTTTAGGAATTGATTGAAAGCTATGGACCTCCAGCTCCTCCCCAGAATAATTCACATAAACACAACTTTGCATGCAATGAATATATGTACTTTAACTGCCTCATACACATATGACACATGCAAAGTTTGAATAAAGCGAATAATCACAAACAACAAAAGACTCCTTTATGCAAAAAGTATTAGCCACTCTTTAGGCCCCTTTCACACGGACGTTTCGATAGGGTCCACCTGCCCGTTTTTCAGAGGGACCCGATTGGAACCTCTATTCTCCTCTATGGAGCAGCGGGTTTAAATGGACATGTGTCCATTTACACCCACTGACATCCAATCTGATCCGATCCACCAAAAAGAGACAGATGGGGACCCATTCTCCTTCCATCCATCGGATGGGATGGCAGTCAGATGAAAACGGACAGGCGGTCTGTTTCCATCTGACCACCCACAGAGGACAGCGGGCTGTGTCTGTGTCCGCTCTGCAGCAACAGAGCAGACACGGACCTGTTATCCGCTTGCTCAGTGAAGATCAGCAGAGAGATCCCCCGCTGAGCAAGTGGATCCACTGACAGGTCCGCTCCGTGTGAAAGGGGCCTTACAAAAATGAAATACAATCATCTTGTGCAAATTAAAGAAAACAAGAGGCACAAGATGGCAGTTGTGCAGAGAAAGTTGAATTGAAATGACAAAAAATGGGCCTGCAATGTGTCAGACACTTAGCGATCAGCGCTGTAAGCAGTGGTAGGGTTAGAAACCCCTGCCTAGACTGAATGAGCATGCGGCATTAAATTTAGCATTAGCCCTTTTGCTGCCTGAGCTGTTTCTGCGTTATTTGCACACATGTTGAAAAAATAATTTTAGCCCTAAAGATTATACAAACCCCCCAAGCATTATATGTTTTCGGAAAGCGGACACCTTAGAGAATAAAATAGTGGTAGTTCCAATCTTTATGTCACATGATATTACTGCAAAGGATGAGAAAAATCAAACTTACAGTAAAAAACACACTAACATGATATTTAGGGCAGAGAAACACAATAAATTAACCAAAATGTTGGCAAAATATAAAAGATGAGGTTGTGCCAAGTAAATAGATACCCAAAATGTCAAGCCTTAAATTTTTATGCGCCTGTGAAATGGCGACAAACTTCAGTGCCAGAAATTTTCTAAAGGTGACACTTCAAAAGCTCCTACAGGTCATCATCAGTTTAGTATTATGGAGAAGGTCTTGTGCTAGAATTATTGCTCTCACTCTGGTGTGCGTGTTGATATGTAACGTGTATTGCAATAGATTTTTTTTTCATGCATAGGCAACCCCGACACATGCGTTTTACGCTCGTATATGTGGGGGTAGGGGACCTCAAAATTTTTGTGCTTGGTATAACGTTATGATTTTTTCAATTAAAAATTAAAACTTTCTTTCAATTAAAAATTACTTAACTTTTTTTTTCATCACATATGGGACATATGTGATGATTTTTAGGTGACGGGTTCTCTTTAATGAGAAATGCAGAGTCTTTTGGACCCTGAATGTCTCCTCTGGGCTCCACTGGATGTATTGCAATACATTTCTCCCCGGGAAAGTGACATCAGTGACCCGGAAGTGACATCATACACATCGATTTCCAGGTCACAATAAGGAGGAGAGGAGAACAGACGTGTGTCCACTCTCGGCTATCCACTTCACCCGCTGGCACCTGCCATGTCAGCCTGGGGCCTGCAGATGGGCAAGCGGAGCCCAAAATACATGGCGGGAGTGTGCACGGGGGACGGGGGGTCTGTGGAAGCAATCGGTGCTAGTGCAGCTGCCCGACTGCTTCCACCTGACCAGCAAGAGTCTGCCTGTCAGTTTTAGACACAATCCTGGTGGCTGCAGCTGCTAGATTGTGTCTATAATGCCCTGCCGTCAGGTCCGTATGACATACAGACCTGGCAACAAAAGGGTTAAAGAGTAACTCCAATTTTGTTTAAAAAAACAAAACAATCCCCTCTAGGTGATTAATGTACACTGCAGAGATTGTAACAAACTACCAGATTGCTGCCTTTTTCTCCTCTGAAGGAATATTTATTGTATACATTTTGGATTTTGGATACAGATTCTCTATGGAAATGACTTTTTTGTTATTGATGAGCTGGTGCACTTACAGTGCTCTAATGAGGAAAGTTGCAGTGCCTGCATACCTTTAGAAGTGATTAACCCAGGAGCTGACTGGCAACTTTTGGGCCCAGGACAACCCAGAGGATGCCCAAGGAACAGCAAACGGAGGACAACTTCTTAGCAATTACAGTTAGGTCCATATATATTTGGACACAGACACATTTATAGTTTTTTTTTCAGGTATTTACCAAAACATATTCAAGGTATAGTTATATAATGGATATGGGCTGAAAGTGCACACTATCAGGTTTAATTTGAGGATATGTACATCCAAATTGGAGGAAGGGTTTAGGAATTACAGCTCTTAAGAGTAGCCATCCCCCCTTTTCAAGGGACCAAAAGTAATCGGACAATTGAATATAATCATATATAAAATGTTAATTTATAATATTTTGTTGAGAATCCTTTACTGGCAATGACTGCCTGAAGTCTGGAACCCATGGACATTACCAAAGACTGGGTTTCCTCCTTTCTGATGCTTTGCCAGGCTCTAACTGCAGCTGTTTTCAGTTCTTTGTTTGTGGGTCTTTCTGCCTTTAGTTTTGCCTTCAGCAAGTGAAATGCATGCTCAATTGGGTTGAGATCAGGTGATTGACTTGGCCATTGTTGAATATTCCACTTCTTTCCTTTCAAAAGCTCCTGGGTTGCTTTTGCAGTGTGTTTTGGATCATTGTCCATCTGTACTTTGAAGCGCTGTCCAATCAACTTTGCTGCATTTGGCTGAATCGGGGCTGACAGTATATCTCTAACTACTGCAGAATTCATCCAGCTGCTTCAGTCTTCTGTCACAACATCAATAAACACCAATGAACCAGTGCCACTGGAAGCCATGCATGCCCATGCCATCACACTACCTCCACCATGTTTTTACAGATGACGTTGTGTGCTTTGGAT